CGCGTTAAATCGACAGATGGACCTTGAGCGGCAAAAGGACTAGTTCCTGCAATCCGTCGAACCAAGGGCGTCTGAGAGTTTATAGTAGCCATGACTAAATAATACACTCACCTCGACGAAGTGGGTCGGTTTATATGTAGACGCACAGCTGTGGCCCTGCCAGTAGCCACAGTACCAGCTGGCCACAGAACAAGACAGCCACGGGCTGACTGCCGGAATTTACCCACGTAAATCACTTTTGGGTGTGTGTGTCTCAGGCCACCCTTGACAGTGGTCGTCAGCTTAGGGCACTTCGCAGTGGCACCGCCGTTGACCGTTGAAGGTTGAACTTGCACACCGAATTTGGAATTGAACGCGACCACGTGCCTGTGGCTGCTACCCTGGCGTTCATTCTCCTGCGTCTTGCTGGCGACCCCACCGAATTTCGCGTCCGCCCAGTTCTGCCACCGCGTCTCCTGCTACCATACTATCCCCCTTTGTTGCTCAATCTGTAGATTGAACTAGTTTGTGTTAGGAATGCCCTTGAAAACATCCTGCTCTCTCGCCGTTCAGCGGGTTGGCGACAAGGCTGGTACACTGGAAGGGTACTACAACATCGGGGACCAGGGGCGACACCAACTTTTAACAACGGAGACCCGCAAGACCAAAATGAATTGCCACCTAATGTGTCTATGCTGATTCTGCGCGAAGGTGGAATCACACGGAATCGCGGCGCACTAGCTCCTTTTCCTCTCAACTCGCCCAGTGCCCGGGCGGCACCGCTATATTCAATGTATCTTATCCTCATTTACGCCACCGATTAGCAATGCTATAGAAGTGGAAGGATTGATAAGATGCATGACTCTCCTTCCAGGTTACTCGAAGATGGACTGCTCTGAAATACGGCGGGCCAGAATGTCAGTGAGTCCTTCATAACGGCAATAGCGGCTTCATTCCATGAACGTGAGTATTGTGTAAGGTACGCTGGAATCGGATCACGCATTGTTCTATATCGCTTTATCCTTCCATTCTGCCACTGTTGACTGCGAGCGGCGATTGAGGGAAGATTCCGAATTCTGTCGCGTCACGCCACGTGCATCCCGGCAATGTGCTGTCACTAATGATTGTGACATGCAGCACTTGATCGTCCGCTGCAAGTCACTTGAGCTTGAGCTTGAATCACTCGCGTTGCCTGTCATGATATTCTGCACTAGTCTTGTTTCGCCAGAACTAGAGTGAAACGACTGCCCCTTTAGCTCTAGAAATCAGAGTGACTCCAAAAATCAAACAACGAATGCACTATTTCTCCCGGATATCTGCGGACCCACTTGATCACCTTTCGAAGGCTGATTTCATCGCCTTATACTGTGAAGTTATACATATACATAACCTGAATCTTCGCTCTCTCGTCTGTCAGCGAGCTCGGGCCTCTCCTGGACACACTTCAATATCATGCCATAATTGCTCAGTGAGTTCCAGCCACTCGATCAGCGGCTAGGCACGAAGCGTTGAATAACGAGAAGGCCTGTGACAAAACGCGTCTGGGTAGAGCTTGACCCTCTGAACTGTCGGCTCACCATTTAAGGTTTGTCGCTGACTCGGTCGAGTTACTGGCCTACAGTGGATATGGTTCATGATGTTACTGAATGCGAGTACTTGGCAACAAACTCAACGGGCGACGCACTGCGTGACAGATCATCATCGGTAGGGAACTATTCTTGTATCTATGTCTAACCAGCTGTCTAAACTCGTGTGCTCTTGTTGACAGTCTTGTGCACTGCTTCCGGACCAAGTTAGGACCATTTGCCTGACCAAGCATTTTCGAGTGCGAATAGCACCCGTCGCGGAAGAAGGCTATCGTCCTGCCTCGCTACATAAGCGAACCTTGTTGTGCCCCGAATATTGAACGCTGAACGCTCCTCGTCTCGCCACGCGCTGGACGACCTTACTTTCAATGAAGTCGAAATACCTTCCACCATGCATGCGCTCCCTCTGGAACTCATACCAGAATTCACGTCGACGTCCTTCCAACTCAGCGAGCTCATCCCGCAACCTCGATGAGATCCACGATGTGAGTGCATTCCAGGATGTTTTAGTTAATGGTGGTCAACATAGTCCTGTTCTCGTAGAACCAGGGCTTTAGAAAGGCCTTGGTGGTACTCGCCACGGAGGACCCACGATTGCAGCCTTTCGTGGATCTGCTCAACGCAAATGACGACCCCGATGTCGACCACACAGAGGATATCAAGCGTGCGCTGGATGAACTACGACGAACTAACGAGAGAGAGTTGGCTGGCAAAGACACGAAACAGAACACCCCGATATTGAGCGCTTCTCCATTCAGCGAGCTCAGGAATGCGGGTTTTCACGTGTCCGATGACGAAGTGCAGAGCGTTGACTTTGTCGGCGACCCGGAGTTCCATAATTGGGGATTCACAGTCAAATTCAAGCCCTCATGGACGCTGGTCGTGAGATCGATTAACGGAGTTTGCCAGGTCGTTAAGTGGGCATCACAGACGGGTAGGAAGGTGCGGGTGGCGGGTTTCCGGCATACTTGGACGTACGTCCCACAACATTTGGATCGAGTCTTTTTTCATTGACGCAATGTCGATGTTTAGTGAGTTATATGGGAATAACGGGGACATCATGATCATGTTCCTCCCAATCGAGACTCTGGTCAAACTGCCATACGAGCTGCCTCCGAAGAGCTGGTCAACTGAACTATCTGGCATTGAAGTTGTTCCGGCTGTAGTTGATCGTGTCGCTCCCCCAGGACACGCGTTTGTCAAAATAATGGCTGGTACCAGTAACGATCAGCTTCGTCAATGGAGCTTCGACAACAAAGCATGGTGCATGCCCTTCAATGTCATCATGGTTGAGGTCACTCTCGGCGGTACGAATGCTGTCATATGTCACGGCTCAGGTTTCTCCACTTCGACTCTATCTGATCTAGTGGCTGAGATCTGTTATGTCGATGCTCGGGGTACGCTCCAGTCAATCACCGACCCAGACGAGTTGCGCGCTGCGAGTGGCAGCTTTGGGCTGCTTGGAGTCGTCACGTCAGTGACGCTGCAGTTAGACGCAATGGGTGTTGCAGAACTTGTTCCCACGAAGCTGTCCCTGCCTCTCGCGATTCCTCCCCCGAAAGGATACCCAATTCCTGAGGAAATACAGAAGATGATAAAGAAGGAGAAAATCACCGATTCCCAACTCGAGCAAGCGCGTTTGAATTTCATTCAGAGATGCGAAGAAGACTATTATCTTGAATGGTTTTGGTTCCCATACGAGGACACAGTATGGGTTAATACATGGAAGCGTGAGTGTCTGTCTCTTCTGCCCGTTTTGGTTCATTGAATCCGAGATCAGGGCGTGACTTGACTGCAAATGATATGGATCTGAAACCATATCCCGACACTGGATTGGACGGGGTAACGTCTCAGAATGTGGGTTCGGGGTCCTAAAGTATGCGCCTGCACATTTTGACCAGAATGACTCATCTTAGCTTCAAGAAGATGCTGCTGAGATCATAACAACTACATTCCTTTGGAAGGCTCTCCCCGCATACTGGCAGGCACGTCTCTTGGCGATAGCGACCATGGCCATATTACCCAGCGTGAAGAGTGACAAGGACGCCATTGTAACGTATGTAAGCGAGGCGCTACACTTCAGGCGTGGTATCCGTGCGTAAACATGTGCAATGAACGTTCTACACTTCTTCCTTATTGTGCGCACCCTTTCTTGCAGAGAATTTCCGCTGCTGGGATTCAGAATGGGAAGTACCTATCGGCTCGATCAATGGCCAAAGAGACTACGAAACTATCCAGCGCGCTTGGTGAGTCACCACCACCTTCATGGCGCTCAGTCTACTTACAACCTTACCAATGAAGGTGGGATGGTCTTTCTTCCGTATATAGCCGTAGCAAGGAGGCGCCGATGCGCCTCACGTTTGAGATGCGGCTGATGGGATGCTCGAACGTTCTGCTCGCTCCACAGCGAGGCAACACGCAGGGCACCATATCCATCGAGATGCTCACTACTCTGGCGACTCCCCAAGACGAATGGGCGTCGTTCATCCAGCTCGTCGCTGATAAATGGACGAATTACAACGTAAAGGACGATTCTGGAAAGCTGCTATATCCACGTCCACACTGGGCGAAACAATGGAGCGGCTTGCGCGTGCACGGGAAGCCTATCGAGCAATATCTGAAGGAGGACGCGTACGGGAGTGCATTTGCAGAATTCAAAGCCTCATTCCAGAACATCCTCACGAAGCGTGGGCTTACTGTGGACGAAACTCGAGCGCGGTTTGGCAATACACTACTGGATGGGCTGATCTTTGACTGACCACATGCTGGCCGCTGTGACCATTTCTCTTCTGCGCATGCATCCATCTAGGACATTTCTTGCTTTATTTGAACTGTCGTTGGTAATATATTTACATTCTATTATGCGTCCGCGATGCTTGATTCACCGCGACGATGGCGATTGTGGCGCAATGCTGCGCGATCACGTGATAGACGCGCGTTTCAGTGGCTGTGACTTTGGCAGTTTGGCTCCGCTCCTCGAAATCCTTGCCCCTCGCAACGAAGAGGCTCGGAATTACGCTCTGCTTCTGAACATGATGAGAGCATCTTTCGGAATTCTACTCCGTCTCTGCTCTTCTTACAGTATTTGTCCCAAGTGAACTAAGCTGAGCTGCGAGTTTCAAGATAGAAAGTATCCGCATTCGTTTGCCGTAAATTAATCCGACCAGACCGGGTGTGGTCACAATCCTTATCCAGTATTCTCGAACTTATGCTGAGTCAGATAGCGATTGCGACATTACTGACAGCAATTGCATGCTCGAAAGCCCACAAGTACACACCAGGTACCGCCTAGTCGATTTCCGTACCTTCCGCCTTCATATATCGCATCATCAATGTCCGCCACTCAGAAAGCCCTTCTCCTTGGGGCAAAGCAGGGGACCTTCTCCATTTCAACAATTCCTATCCCACAGCCCGGACCTGGACAGCTGCTGTTGAAAATACATGCTGTAGCGTTGAATCCGGTTGATTGGAAGGTTCAGGTGAATGGGATCATTGTCACAGACTATCCTGCGGTGCTCGGGACGGATATTTCGGGGACGGTCGAGAAGCTTGGCGTTGGAGTCGAAGATTTTGAAGTAGGTGATAAAGTGTAAGTTCGCTTTTTCATCCCTCCGCTTGTGCCTTTTGTTGATCCAATCTCTTACTGCACAGATGTACGCAAGGCTACTTCCATAACGAGCACGCAGGTTTCCAGCAATATACGCTCGCAAACGCAGATATTACTGCAAAGGTCTGTTCTTACCCATTCTCCTATCAATATCAATTCAGACTCACCCTCCGCATGTTTCAAGCTACCCCCTAATGTCTCGTTTGAAGGAGCTGCAACTCTCCCGGTTGGTCTCGCTACTGCGGCCCTTGGGCTTTACACTGAAAACCTGCCTCAAAATGTGGATTTTGGTAGTGCTGGGCTGACACCACCGTGGGTAGCAGGGGGAGAACAAAAGTACGCACGGAAGCCAATTGTTGTTATAGGCGCCTCTAGTTCAGTTGGACAATGTGGTATGGCCCAGATATTTAAATGCACCCATCCGAAGATATTCATTTGAGATCACCTGTAGTCGTTCAACTTGCCAGACTCTCGGGATATTCTCCAATCATTGCAACTGCCTCCTTGCACAACACCGATCACCTTCTATCCTTAGGCGCGACACATGTTCTCAGCCGCAACTTGAACCCTGCCGCTTTACAATCTTCCATCAAAGAGATTACGACCGAGCCTCTGGATCTGATCTACGATGCTATTTCCCTTCCCGAGACTCAGAATCTCGCATACGAGTTACTGGAACCTGGTGGATGTCTCATAATCGTATTATTTCCCAAGATTCGCATCGATCCATCTACAGGAGGACAGAAAGAGAAGCGTGTCGAGAAAGCGTTCGGACAAGTTAACTTCCCCCCTGAGAACCGAAATGCTGCACGGGGTCTGTATAAAAATTTAACGAAGTACTTGGAAACCGGCTTGATCCAGGTGGGTGCACTTGTTTGTCTCGCTCGAATTCCTGACTAAATATCTTTTAGCCTAATCGCGTTGAAGTTCTCCCTGGTGGTCTGGAAGGCATCGTTAGTGGTTTGGACAGATTGCAGAATGACAATGTCAGCGGTGCGAAGCTTGTGGTGCGTCCACAGGAGACGGCCTAACATGTCTATAATCTCTCGTTCGTGGATGCTATTTGCACATTCATCTGATTCACATTGATATTGTACTATGTTTGCAACCTTGTTGCAAAGTGTTTGGTAACCTTCCGCATGTGGGCGTAAACTCTCGTGGATTCGAGTCTATTCGAGTACCTTGAGCCATCGCATATACACTAAGGGAATCGGGTTCCACTTTTGAAAGTTGTTCCTCAGACCTAGCGATTAAACTTCACTCCGTAAGGCAAGTATTTCAATTTATTCTGCTCAAACAATCCGTCCATTATCTCGACTGATTTCTTCACAGCCAAGTCCCACCGGCGGAGGACTCTATCGAGCGATTACTTCATGGTCACGCTTGACGTATCTCGGGCGTCCGAATCCAAAATAGCTTGGATCCGAAGCCATTCAACCTTCAAAGTTATGCAGAACCGTTATATTGGCATGCTTCCCGCTGTCTTGGCGAGCGATATACATTTGCTTCATCTAACTGCTCTTCAGAGTATACTCGCCTTGAATAGCCTAGAATTGATCCATTATCCTCGGACGTAGTGGTGTACGCTTTCGGCTGGTCAGAATTCGAACCATTTCTTGATCTTGTGCCTTGGGGTTGCGTTTGACCGAGACCAGTAGCCTCCAGCTGCAGTACGTAGATCCGACGACTGTGGCTGACAACAGTACATCTGCACTGCTGACTGACGAACGTAGCAGATCCACGCTCTGTGGTGTGGCCTATGATGATTACGCTACAGTACTTCTTTCTTCTTGTAAGTGTCCTGCCACTACTCTACGGCCTTGCCGGAGACGTCCCTCAAGGCGGGAACTGCTCGACCGCCGATGACCGACTCGACCCCTCCTCGCACAAGTTCCTCAGCGACTGCACCGACACGGCCTTCTGTGCTCCGCCCTCCTCGCCTGCCGACACTGATTCCGTAACCACTGCCCCTGGTTTCAGATCGCCGAGTACGAATACAAGTGGAATCTGCCAGGCACGCCGGTGTCGCCGAGACGAGTTTCCCTTCGGATACAGCGCAGGCGTCTCGCTCCCGCCACTGTGTCAGCGCGGGAGTTTCTGTCCCGACGAGGGGAATGGGTGCAGCCCGCTTCGCAGCCCAGGCGAAGCGTGTCAGCTGAACAGGGACGATCAGTGCGCGCCGCCGCCGAACTGGCGTCAGCTTGCAAATAGCAGGAACTTCAACGGATCGATATGCCTGCAGTCGACGTGCATGTGCGTCTTTTCATGCGTGCGCATCCCTTTGCATTGGCGACCATGCACTTAGGTCCTGCGGCCCACACTGAATTTGGGCTGACCTGTACGACACTGCAGGTATGCGAACGCGACGTTGGGCGCGCCGTGCGTCGTCGACGACGTGACCTATGTCGCGGCCGGGCCCGGCGGCGCTCAGTATAGCAATGTCATCACGCGCGATAACTGTGAGGCGCCGCGCCTATATTGCGAACGCAACTCGACGCAGTGTGTGTCCGCACACGACCTCGATGAACCGTGCGATGCAGATCGGGAATGCATGTCGGTGCGTGCAGCCGTATTCGGGCTCGGTGTGGGCACACACTGACAATCGTGCTCCCGATAATGCAGTATAACTGTGGACCGAGGGGAACGTGTGTGGAACCCCCGGAGATGCCGCGACATGTTGCGCCATGGCAATACGCAGTTATGGCGGTGAGTGTATTGGCAGGTGCGTGTCGTTGTGAATGATCCCCTGGGTCTTATGAAAATTTATTCTGTGGACTTTTACGTACATAGCAATGGTTGTGACGCTCGTCTTGCTTGTTCTGCTGCACAAGCGTCATCGGTTGCTACGGTACCGCCAGATTCGCGAGTACTACGAAGAGCAGATGAGGTGAGTGCTTTGTTCGTGGGTCGAGTGGGGTGTGATGTTGAACAAGATCCTCACTTTGGTCGGGAAGCTTGCGCCGTTCGATGGCAGCATTACATGCTGTTGCCGCCGAGAAGTACGAAGACGAGAAACGAGAGTGGTAGGTGGTACATCCTCAGTTTTGTCTGTACGATCCTTTTAGGCGAATGTTGGCACAAGGTCCAAATGAATGAATCAAATATGTGATAGGAAGCCCATGACATTAACCAAGAAGAATTTCCAACAGAACCGGAATCCCGATTAGTAATAGATTCTAAAATGAATATTACGAAGGTATATTTTCTGCCCTCCCGACCTTTACCTCAATACGTAGTATCCATTTCTTCAAGGATCCTCACCGCTTCGTCGGTGGTGACGGATGGAGCCCGAATCGCTTAAATACGCCTGCAAGCTTAATATGACTCTGGTGTGGAGTAGCTTTTCCATCCTTCGGATCGTGATCCTTGTCCTCGTCGACCGCTTGTTGCGCTACGTCAATTTTGTCTTTCTCCTGGCCAGAAATGGTCGGGGATTCTCTGCTGGGCGCTTTTTCTGCGGCACACGCGAGGGAGAGCTTACTCGAGAGCGGCGAGTCGCAATGGGGAAAGATGAACGCCTGATCGTGGCGACACGCTGCGGGACTATCGCAGGGACCAGCGTCGAAGATGGTCGAGTGTGCACACCAGTCAAACTTGGGGGTCTTTACTGCACCTTTGCGGTCCTCTGTGACACGAGGGGAAGTCAGCTCAGTTAGCATAAGTAAAGAGTGGTCGTAAACGGACCAGTATGAACCCGCGTAAGGCTGGCGGTGTCAAAGGTGTACTGGCTCATGGTAGTGCAGAATCGACTTGCGCCAAGTGAGTAGATAGTGAGAAGTGAGTGGTGTGGAGCACAGGGGTGGCTTATGTAGCGAACAAATGCGACGAGGGGTAGGCGGACTTAGGGGTTGGTACTGCAACGGTGCTCTAATTTATACCCGGTATAAAACCAGCAAGGACCCCCGAAGGTCAACAGGAGAAGTTGAGGTCGGTAGGCCCATGATATGCGAAAAACTAAAAATGGCTCGTGTGAAGGGACCCGTTGAACGAGAGGGTGTGCCACAGTTAAAAGACCAATCGGTAGCCCCCGCTAGGTCTTCTTGTCTTGGGAAGCGAAATCCGCTCTGCCATGCGGTGTCTTCGCGACGTTGAGTGCAGCCTAGAATGCCAGTGCACTTATTGTGCATGCGGCGCACGGGCGCTGCTAGTACAAGAATCCTCTGCCAAACACAGCGCGCACAAAAGCAAGTGGTTGACGACCTGCAGTCACAAGATCGTATACATCTCCTAAATTTGAATCATCCTGGATGGTTGCAGAATAGGAGACTCGAACGAAACATCCGCTTGGTCGCTACAACTCGAGAGCTTCAAGTTGGGCCTAGTGACTCCTAGTCGACTGCTACCGCTTGGGCCGCGCCTGCTCATTGGCTGATCGATCGATCGCATATTTATCCGCGCACGTGATGTATGTCTTCGGGTATTCCCGCTTCATTTCTCGTTGCCAGCATCGTGTCGTACACGCTGCAGAGGCTCTCTCACTCTTTCCCTCACGATCCCCCCCCCTCCACTCCCCCCTCAAAATGAGCGTTCAGCGGCCGTTCAGAGCTACAGATCTATTCAAGTTCAACCACATGTGAGGCGGTCAGAGACAGTCTTAGAGTACATTGACCTTATTTTTGATAGTAATTTAGACCTTTGGACTGAGACAGTAGGCCTCTTAGTATTGGCCTCAATCACGGTCACACTCAGAATCTCTTTTGTTGCAGTATGGTATCAGTTTTTATCTTAACTACCTCTCGAGGTGGCCAGACCTCTGTTCAGTACAGGAGACACCTGATGGACGGATGATGGGATACAGTACGCGTACATCGGATTTCTCCCCCTTTGCCCAGATTCATTTTTTCCCATTGAAGTGATTGCAAAAGCCGAAGGGCAAGCCACCGAGTGGCACGGACACATCACTGCGCTCTCTGTCGCGCCAGAATATCGCCGGCTCTCACTCGCCCGCAAAATGATCGAACAGCTCGAGCATGTATCTGATGAAAGCTACCACGGGTTCTTTGTTGACCTCTACGTCCGCTGTACCAACATCGTTGCTATCAACATGTACGAAGGTTTCGGTTACAGTGTGTATCGCCGTGTGAGAGAGTACTATGGTAGTTTGGGGCTCGGACGGAATTCAAAGGACGAAGAGGATGCATTCGGTGCGTGCGCTATATTGTCGCTGTACCGTTTTCATCACATAAATGATACTTATAACATGCTAGATATGCGGAAGCCGCTTTCAAGAGACCCAATGCGTCGCTCTGTGCGGAGCAATGGGCGAGAATTTATTGTCAGCGCTCACGATGTGTCCTGATTCCTGTATCTGTCTCTAGTCCTCCTACAATTTGGCACAGTGCCGTGTGCATTGCCTCTATAAAGACACTTTTCGCGCTGCACCAAGTTGGGTTGGAGGCTCGAGTATACAATGGTCGAACTCGAGATGTTCAGGTTCAGACTCGTATGGCCCGTGAGAGGTGACTAAGCGGTATCATACCTAGTCAAAGTTGTGACAAGGCATGGTATCAGCTTATTCTCCTGCAGGGGGCATACAAGTACTGAAATCTTTACCTTTTGCACTTGCATTTGGTTTCCTTGACGAGTATCATTTTGCATCTTTCTGCTTTCTGCTAAACTTGTTATTTTGATCCTCCTTCCATGCCTTCTGCTGGTGCATCACATCGCTCGTTTTACCCGTCTACGGCAGCCGGTCTGCCTGAGCCCTCCATGTGTTCCGACCAGAGCACGCCCGGCCGCCCTAGGGTGCGCTTCTCAGAGGATCTTCTGATCTCGTCTCCGCAGGACTGTAGCGAGACAGGATATAAATCCCCTCCTAATCATCCTTCGCCTGTTATTCCCCAGGCTCTTTACGATCCTTCCGCTCCTCATGGATACTATCCAGAATCACCGTACGGACATCACACACGCGACCCTCAGTTCCGTCGTTCTATTCAGTTGGCTGAACGCGAGGTGTCCCGTGTCCCCACTCAAGCTGTTGTCGAAATGCATACCGACATCGGAGGCCGCGACCGCGAGGGATCAGAGGACACACTATATGAGAAGGGCGGCGAGGATCCAAAGCACAAGTACTCCCTGTCGTCGTATCGCCACCCTTACGACATCCCGCCCCCTACTCATGCCTACACCGGACAGCCTGCAGTTGCGGCCCCGCCTACTCGTCGTGCGGTCCGTTTCAATGACGAGAAGGGGAATATCGTACGCCCAGGCGACCGGGATGAGGAGCACTCGTTTGGGGACACGTTCAAATCTCACGCCTATGCCGGCGATGGCTCGCGTCCACCCCAGTGCGACTTTAAGCGGGCGGAGGCGCATGAGCTCAGCAGCCTCCTTCCGTTTCTCGCCTTTCTGGACGATAGTGATCCGCTTCTGACAGGTGTACGCAAGGACAAGCTGAGGGAGCTGGAGCGAGACGAGAAGAACCGCGTGAGCCTCATGTCATACCGTGAGCGCCGGAAGTATCTACAGCGTGCACGGATCGAGTTCAATGTTACTAGTGGGTCATCCCTTTATCCATGCGCCTTTCTGCGAACCTTCCTGACTGTCTCGCTTACAATCAGCCATTGAAAACCGGCGACGTTTCCTTGTCACGCTTGTCAAGGCGCTCGTCAAGTTCTGCGCACCGTCGCATCGGATGGAGGCGCAGCTCCTGTCGGCGTCACGGATCCTCGAGATTGAGTGCAGGTTACTGCAGCTACCAACGACAATGATGATGTGCTTTGGGCAAGACGGCGATCCGACTGCGGAGGTGCACGTCGTGGTGCGCAAGGGCCAGCTCCAACTCGGTTCGCTGCATCGTGTTCATCAAGTTTATCGCGCAGTCGTGCACGACGAGATCAGTGCGAAGGAGGGCATTAAGCGGCTGAATGTGATTTTGACCGACAAGCCCTTGTATAACCTCCCGATACGCTATGCATTATCCTTCGGCCTGGCAGCGCTCATTTGCCCGCTCGCATTCGGAGGGTCGTTCGTCGATATGTGGGTTGCCGGCTCGGGAGCCCTGTTCTTGTGTTTGGTACAGACTCAGATTTCGTCGCGGTCACACGTTATCTATGCAAATGTCTATGAGTGAGTCTCAAATTTCTGGGGTGCATCTGATGCTGATTTATACGTCCGGTGTAGTACCACTGTCACCATTGTGATATCATTCGTCGCTCGCGCGCTTAGCAGTATCCGCAC